CCCTGGGAGGTGGAATTTGCAGTGAGCCGAGATCACACCATTGCACTCCAGCCTGGGCGATAGGGCGAGACTCTGTCTCAAAAAACAAAATGAAAAACAGCACGGAGATTTCTCCAAGAACTAAAAGTAGAACTACCATTCAATACAGCAATCCCACTACTGAGTTTCGATCCAAAGGACTAAAAGTAGAACTACCATTCAACCTAGCAATCCACTACTGAGTGTCGATCCAAAGGAAAATAAACCATATCAAAAAGATATCTGCATGTGTATGTTTACAGCAGCATTATTCACAATAGCAAAGATGTGGAGTGAACCTAAGTATCCATCAACAGAGGAGAGGATGAGACAATGTAGTGTGTGTGTGTATATATATGTGTGTGTGTGTGTATATATACACATATGGAGGTCATTATCTTAAGGGAAACAACTCAAAAGCCAAATACCACATGTTCTCACCCATATGTGTGAACTAGAGGAAGTGTCCACATGGTAGCCGAGAGTGCAATGACAGACACTGGAGCCTCGGAAGGGCGGGGGTGGGAGGAGATGGAAGATTTAAACATGACTTAATGGCTTCTTTGTAAACTATTTGGATGGCGGTTCCACTAACAGCCTAGTCTTCACCACTATGCAATATGTGCATGTACCAACACCACACCTGTACTCCATACATTTATACCATTTAAAAAAAAAAAAAAAGATTGCCCGAGAGAAGTGTCCCCGTGCAGGCCAGCAGCAGCCCACATCACTCCCACTCAGACCCCACTGGTGAGGACTCAGTGGCCTCGCATAGCTGAAAGGGGCCCTGGGCAGTGCAGCCTCACTGTGTGCCCAGAAGAGGCTCTGAGCTCCGTGCCTGGCTGGGAGACTCCACCACCCGCTCTCATTATCTGTGCACCTTAATAGCCACCAGGCCTTTCAGAGGGAAGAGGCGTCACTTAGACAGCAGTTAAGCAGCATAAAGGGGCTTGCTCTGGGCACTGAGCCCTCACCTGTGCCCTTCCCATCACAGGTCGTTGTGAGCCAGTCACAGCATCATTAGTGAGAGGTGGCCGGTTTCAAGTTCTCAGTCCGGGTCGTGAGTGTTAAGAAGTAAGGACAGTGCCAAATCATAATTGGTCAAATTTGGTTTGCCACTATAGGTCCAGCCGTTAGGTGAGGACAGTGCAAAATGGCAGAGCCCTTAGGAAAGTGCCTGAGCAGTTCTGATGTGGGAAGGGGCATGGGCGTCTTCAGGGAGCCTCTAGAAAGCGCTACGCTTGATGCTGTTAATGTGTTTATTATATGCGCCCGGCCTCCATACTGTTTTCCATAGAGGTTGCACTAATTTACATCCTCACCAACAGTGTGTAAACACTACTGTTACCTCGTTTCATACTCATAACCGCCCCCCTCCACGAATATGCCCACACTAGGACTGAGGAATCTTAGGTTAGAAAAGTCCCAGAATCCATAAAAGAACAAGACACAGTCTTTGCTTTCTAGGCCCCAACACTCAAGTGAAATGGTTGCAGCTGACACGTGTGAGCTGGGCACATAAATCATAAGCCCGAGTGCCAAGGCCCCCACACCAGCCGGCACGTTGGCTCCCAGGGTCCACACCCGTGATGGTCACCCGCTGCCTGACTGGTTTAATGAGCACTAAGACAACAACCCATTCCTGCAGAATTCTGGTAACTTTGCAGTGGAGGCCTGAGCACCACGGTCAGCCTGTCTGGTCCACTCAATCCCTTCACAGCTGAGACCCCTGTGGTTCTCTGACCAGCGTCCACCTAAGGCTCGCCTGGCAGAGGCACCTGCTTTGGAGGACTCCTAAGAGGGGTGTCATATCATGTCTGAAAACTGCACCCCAGGACACCTCTACCTCCTTACTGTCACATTCAACCTCTGATGGCAAACCCCCAACTCTGAAGAGCAAATACAACCCTAACTCTGCTTAGTTACTAGAAGTCACTATCCCAAAAACAAAAACAAACAAACAAAAAAACTCTACCAAAAGAAGAAACTCAGCACCCAATGTTAAATTTCCATACTGGCTCTTTTGCATTTCTCTGACACATGCCAGCTTAAACCCAGACACTCATATTTTGCAAACGAAAACTGCTGAAAAGGTAACCTGCCCACATTCTCCTAGGACAGGCCGACTCCTTTCCCTTGGGTCTCTACCCCATTTCTCCTCCTTTAGGACTCCTTTGGGTTTTGCATTCTCTTCCCAGGACCAAAACAGTCCCCTGTAAACCTACTATCCTTTCTTTTCTGTTTTTTATAAAGAGTGAAGGCAGAAGTGACTAAAGCAACGTGCTGACAAGAAGCCAGCACCCGATTTAAGGACAGTCTCTTGTAAGGGCCTGGCCCACCCATCGTCCCTGACTCTGCACAGTGCTGTCTTTTCAGCAGTGCTGACAGTGAGATTAATTATCCCCCAGTCCAGCCGAGAAGCGGGGGTTGCCACACGGATGTGTCTCCAGCCACTTACTACACAGAGACTTACTCATCACAAGCGCTTGAGGATCTTGAAAGGACGCACATTCCTGAGCAATATTTGTCCCTATGCTAATTTGATTTTGGAAAAACCAGGCTTCCCCCAGCAAGAAAGGCAAGTGAGAGAAAGAAGAGCAAGCTTTTGCCAAAATTTAAATGGGAGGAAGAATCCAATTCAACTTCTCCTCGTTTCACGGTTTAATCTCTGCTTTCCATTAGGGAGTTGAAGAGGGACTGCCCCTTCACCTGTTTGCCTCTGTGACTTCAGACAAATCCAGTTGACAACGACAAAGCACCTTCTTTGTCCTTCTCATCAGTTAATTTAAAGGGTGCATGTTTACTAACAGCTTAATCTATTTGGTGCAAACACTCTTTCACATTCTTTTCCTTCATCAAAAACAAAACCCCAAAACCTTCCAAACACTCACATGGAAACTTCCCGTCTTAAGTCGGCCTGGATGGCAGCATCATAGCTACAGAAATCTTAGCCGCGCAACCAAGTCTTAGTCGGTTCATGAGCCTCCCTCTCTCTGTGAAATGTCAGGACCAGAAGCTCGCATTTTGAGTGGCTAGTCTCAGCTTTTACAACTCTTCACACTGCAAACACTGAAGTAGCAAGGAGAGCTCTCTTTGACCCAAAGAAATTCCTTCCTCTAAGAATCAACCGAGAGGAAATCAACGTTTATGTTTCACACACAAAAAAAATTGACAATAAACTTAATTAGACTTGGTATCTTAAATACGCCAACAACTGCTGGTAACTTCACAAACAGAATGAACCAAGTTTACTTTCCTTGAGTTATTACCCAGCTGTATCAGGAAACATCTGTTTCTACCAAAGTGATCACTTGCATGGAGTTTTAACATCAGTTGCAAGAGAAGTATGGTATAATTTTAACACTGTACTTGCTTCTATTTTATTTTAAATACAGAGTAATGTTTTAAATTGAATTTAACTATAAAACTTTCATAAAATAAAAATGCATGATCTCATAAAATCAAATCAGTCTTTAATTGTAATAATAAAAATTACATTTAAGTAATGGTGTCTCGGAGTTAATAGCTCCATAAAATCGCCCCTGAAAAGCCAATCTTTGCTACCTGAGTGACTTTTTCTTTAACATTCTGCAATTAAAAGACCAAGTTCTGCCGTGACTCACCACGTGTCTGCTGCGGAACTCCTACTGGGAGTGAATTTCCAACTGAGCTCGCCAGTGAGTAGTGAAGGGAATGTCGGAGCAAAGGTGTGTTACCTGGGCCCAGAAGATTCCGCTCTCCACGTTTTAACTACAAACCACAGAAAAAGGGCAACGTGAAACCAGGAAACGTTTTTAGAAAATTCTAAAATAACTACCATCTAGAGATAAAGTAATTTTTTTTCCCACTACACACCAGGAATAACGTTTCCCCAGTGTTATACACCATTACTACTCATTTGTGGATTAGGGGATTTATAAGGATGATGTCCATTTTTTTCATGCATCTTGAAGTAAGCCAAGAGTAGATTCCACCTTACAAATGCATTTTATGTCTCAGAAAGGCTTCTTCTGTTCCTTTACATCTTCCAGATAACAGACATCAAGAAACCCAGCACTGCGGACTTAGCACCCAGGCACACGTTCGCATGTTCCTATTTATTTCACGTGTGCCAACCTCCTATCCTGATGAGACCTCAAGTCCCCTGAAGACAGGGACTGTGTATTTTATTTTCCCCATGCATTTGCTCTAGGACTGGATCTTCAACACATACAAGTGGGTGCAGGGAGGGAGGCCCTGAAAATCTTCACCAGCATCAACGCAAAAGACCAAAGCCAAGCTTGTCTTCAACATCAGCCTCCAAAGGCCCCCCTTCTCTCCCCAGCCTTCACCTCCTCCCACGTTCCCTCCACCAATGCACCGCAGCTTCCTCAGTCTGGAAGTTGCCTGAGGGCTTATGACTCACACAGAATTAGGAATCCAGTCCCACTGGGCAATTCCCAGCTCTCCAAGCCCCTGTGATGCCTGCGGAAGGGGCAGTTGCTGAGCTCCCTAGGGCTGTGGCTACACACTCCCCTCTGCAAGAAACCTGCTTTAATTTCAGGGTTGTCTACCCACACACAAACCTGATTCTAGTAACTCCGTGACAAAGAACCTCTGTTATCTTCCTTCACCTGCAGAATAAAGAGGACCCGCCAAAGCCTCCCAAGGTCTATTGCTTCCTGTTCCTCTTCTCTCACTCCCCCTCCTCCTAGCCTTCCCCTTGACCTCATGTAGAAGATTGTTTCCTACTTTGGAATAAGTGGCTTAGGCCAGAGGGTGCCACGGCTTCTGCGTTACTCTCCACCCTCACCCCGGCCACCAGCGCTGGAGCCACAGCTCTGCATCTGAGCTCTGTGGCCAAAGGTACACCCACCTGGTCAAGACTGCCAGCCACACACCCCAGCCTCCATCACCCGCACCCACACTGACAGAGGATGCCCACGAGCAGGCCCCAGGGGCTTCCAAGACCAGGACTGTGAGGGATCATTTGACTCATCAACAGGACAGGATAATACTTGTATTTTTAAAAGAGTCTTACGCGCTGCGTGAAGAAAGGCTGGGCAGGCGTGGGTGGTGGGCAGGCTGCCATGTCCATGAGACCAGAGTTCCAGGCTTCCTCGTTTAGCCTCTGTCCTTCCACACAGTGCAGGCAGCAGGCAGTGAGGACAGGTCCCCGGATGACCAGGCGGGTGCGCTAGGACGGCAGGGGTCCTGGTGGGACATCATGCTGGCCACCTAGCCCATGGGCAGCAGAGAGAAAAGGGCAGATTCAGGACACATTCAAGAGAGAGAACCCACAGGATTCAAGTCATCACATAGGGTGGATTCAGTAAAAGGTATCAAGGATGAGGCCCAGGTGTGTGATGTGAGCAGCTGGGTGGATGGGATGTGGAGGCTAAACCAGGGGCCACTGCAAGAGCCCCACGTCTAGGCCAGAGGGCTGTGAGCTCCATACCAGGAGAACAGGAGACAAGTCGTGCAAAGGGAGGTGCCTTACCCACAGCTATGCGGCCTGGAGCCCAGCAGAGAGGTCCCCCTGGAGATATCACGTGGAGCAGATGACAGTGGAGGCAAGGGATGCGATGGGATCCCACCAGGAGGGCCTGAGAAGGGGAAGACAGGAGGCCTGGGCTGACACTGGAAGGCAGATGGAATGGATGGCCCCTGCAAGGTGAGGAGCCCCTGCAAGGTGAGGCCCAAACAGGAGAGTGAAGACCCCATGGCCAAGGCTGCCAGAAGCAAAGGGAAGCCTGCTTTCCCTAAGCTCATGAACTCAAGACTAAAAAGGAAAAAGAAAATCTTTGTTACTCAGTTGTATTATCACTAGAATAACAAGTACTTTATCCTCTTTTTCTTGGAACTGTTCCCTTTTTTTGCTGCAATATTAGATAAAATGGGTTTCTTACTTAACCTAAAAATTCAAATACAGTTTATAGCTTGTCACAAGTAAACTACAGAATTTAAAAAAAAAATGATTTACAAAGGTACTTTGGGGAAGATATTCATGACTGAATGGAGACTACATAAAACGAAATGAGGTGAAATCATTCAAGGAAAAGACAGAACTTCTCATCAGAAAGCATTTATAGCTAAGTCTAAGCCTAAAATTAAATAGTTAAAATTTCCAGCACTTCTGCTGGAATGAGGTTCATGATCGCCCTGCCACATTTGACCAGTCGGGCCATTAGAAACAGAAAGGTACAAAATTGCAGAACAAGTGTCTCATGCACACTTGCCCGGGCTGGGTGCTGCTCAGGTCTGTGCTCTATGAAATGCAATTGGACTGCAAATATGTATGTATATATTTTTGATAATGAATTTAATAAGTAGCCAACATCTCATAATATAGAATTTAACTGTCATTGTTTTCAGCTAGTTTTAACTGGGAGCCCTTAACTAAAGAATAAAAAGTATTCTTATCTCTATAACTAGATAATTATAGTCTATATAATTAATTATATCTTATTCATCTGCATGGAAGAAGGAAGTTTACTTTCTCTTGCAGAAATCAGTTCGCCTCTCCCCACACAGCACCCTCATCACTTGGCTCCTGCAGCCAAGTTGCACCTGGGCACAGCACCTGGGCACCTGGATACCACTCCTTGCCCACACCTGGGCACCCCACCGCTGGCACCTGGACACTGCCCTGCCCCCCTCACCAGGGGACCACCCAGTCTCCAACACCTGGGCACCACCCCACCCCCCACACCTGTGCACCACTCCACTGCTGGCACCTGGGCACCGTCCTGCCGCCTTCACCAGGGGACCACCTGGACCCCACACCTGGCCACCACCCCACCCCCCTTCATCTGGGCACCGCTTCACCCCTCACCTGGGCACTGCCCTGTCCCCCCTCACCAAGGCACCACCCGGCACCCCACACCTGGGCACCACCCCACCCCCCTCACCTGTGCACCTCCCCCACCTAACCTGGGCACCGTCCTGACCCCCTGGGCAGGGGACCGCCCAGCCCTCCATACCTGGGCACCACCCCACTCCCCTCACCTGGCACCTCATCACCCAGCCCATAGCACCGCGCAGCCTGGCCCCAGGCCCACCTTCCAGGGCTCCCCGCGAAGCCTCCTGTCCGCTCAGCCCCACGCGCGGCACCGCAGGTCCCGTGGGTTCCACCTTCCCAGCGCCTCTGAGGCCTCGCGGTCACTTCTCCCCGCACCCGAGCGAAGCCTGGCACATAAATCTCTGGGGACAGCGCCTCTCCTGCCCCAGCCCCGGGGTCTCCCGTCTCACCCCACGCAAAGGCAATCTGGGCCGTGAACTCCGAGGCCCCCAGATCTGCCCCCGAGCGAGGCGAGCAGGGAGAGGACGCGCGGCCCCCACCCACTCAGCTCCCAGCGCGGAGTCCCGGGACCACCTTGGAGAAAAGTCGGCCCGCACCTGCCGCGGAGGAGAAGCTGGGGTGGGGGACCCAGGAACTCCGGCTTGGTCCAGGCGGGGCACCTGGAAAAGCCTCGCGCGGGGCGACTCGGGACGGCAGCGAGGAGGGAGGCTCCGCGGACGCGCGTGGGGCGGCCCGGGACGGCGGGTGCCAGGCGGAAGAGGAGGCGGCCCGGGGCACCCGAGCTCAAGCACCGCTCCCCCGACGTGCATCCGGCCCTGGGCGCCTCCCCCTTTACTTGGCTTCCTCCCCCACGACCACCCTCGGCTCACCCTCCAAACACAGGGGCGCCCTGCGCTCCCCCTGCGAGGCCACGCGAGCCCCGAACCCCGCGCACCGGGCTGCAGACGGGAGACGGGCTCCAGCCTCAGGAGGCCCCAGACTTGCTGGAAAGGCAGGTGTGTTTAAAAATGGAACGGAAAGGTCTGTTGACCGGCAAAAGAAGTATTTACAAATCATTCTGGAAATGTAGAGACCAAGGGGGAGAAAACGGATGCCTCCTAAACTTCCATGCGATCTTCCGAGGATTGGAGGACACCGGGCCCAGCCCCTGCAGCCCCGTGGGCTCCGCGATGACCCCACCCGCTTCCCCTCCAGCCCGTTCCTCCAACTGCGGCCGCCGCGTCCAACCAGGCTCCTGCCTGGCCCTGAACACACGGTGACGTTCCTGCCCCCACGTCCACCTGAGGAGACTCTTTCTCAAGCCCCTGCCTGGTACCCATCCGCCACTCTGGCTTCCTGTCAAATGGACAGATGCTTAGTTATTCCTCGTTTTGTGGATGTTAAGCGACTCTTTTTTTTTTTTTTTTTTTTTTTTGAGATGGAGTCTCACTCTGTGGCCAGGCTGGAGTGCAGTGGCACGATCTCGGCTCACTACAACCTCCGCCTCTCGGGTTCCAGCGATTCTTCTGCCTCAGCCTCCCTAGTAGCTGGGATTACAGGCCCCTGTCACCACGCCCAGCTAATTTTTGTATTTTTAGTAGAGTCAGGGTTTCACCATGTTGGTCAGGATGGTCTCGAACTCCTGACCTCAGGCGATCCGCCCTCCTCAGCCTCCCAAATTGCTGGGATTACAGGCCTGAGCCACCGCGCCCAGCCACCAGTCTTCTTAATTTAAACGATAAGCACCTTGAAGGTGCTGTGGAATCATTATTAGATCAGATGAGTCGACTTCGTGCTGATCATAAATAATCTACAACCTTGTCCAATTTACTTACTTTCTTCTCAATTTACTCTTCTACAAAGGATGATGAGCCAAGTACTCTTAGTTGTTCCCAAGGGGATTTTTATTGTCACATATTTTCTCCTATCTGTGAGTATCACAGGAGAGCAAGCACTCAATATGTCCTTGCTTATTGGGGTTTTTTCCTCTTTAATATCTTACAACGAAGGCATATTGGAAGGTAGGAAAAGCCCTGGTCCATGCCAGGGGAGCTGTCCCAGGCTCCCAGCCCCCCAACAACATCTACAGAATTCTAGAGATAAGAGGCACCTAAGCGAGTCTTTATCTACCCTCCCCAGTGAGCAAACAGGAAAGCTGTCAAGAATTTGGGAACGCCCAGTTCTGCACGGTCCATTGTTTGAAACTGAACTCTGGACCAAAAGTGCTTACAGTGAAGCCCAACGTTTATGACACGATCTTAGCGGGGTCAGACCACTCTGAGAATGGTGTTAGCTGGTGATTCTTTTCCTACTAGTTAAAGGAAACAGTATATCTGGAAAATTCTGGTTTTGGCTAATTCCTAAATAAACAGAACACGAGGAAGTAATTACTCTTGGCATAAATCTAGTGTCTAGAATTATAGGATTTCTTCCCACAAAATGTCAAAGTTGGACTTAAATCAACACATGTCACATCATTGTCATTCCTTAAAATTAGAAATAATTTCAAATTGTTTCAGAACAACTTATCAGTGACAATAAACCAGAACTGAACATTTAAAATAATTTTTATTTCATGGACCTCCTACAAGCTTAGTGTATGGAAAAAGTGCTAAACACAAAATTATCTGTGAGTTCTGAATAAATATTTACCAATTCTATCACTATCACTTATTACCTCTCTGAACGAGTCTCCTAGACTCTAACTCTGGGCTGGTTGGCCTTTTTTTGTTTTTGTTTTTTTCTTAACTTAGAATGTGCTTCCCATTTGAAAAGGTAGAATGAGGATTAAATAAGACAATTTATGCAAAATTACCTAAAATAGTGCCTGGTGAGTAGTAAATGCTCTGTAAATATGTGTTCCTTTCTAGTATCCTTTCCAATATTAGAAAGATTTCCCTTGTAAAACTGTCCATTTTAAAAGAAGCAATAGGGCTAAAGTGAACTGTTGTGGAGATGAGTCCCAGCACACACCAAGAGAAAGTTCTAGCACAGCACTGATCGGTGCTTAGGAGGAAAAGTAAATCAGATTCGATTTTTCAGTATTCTTATACTTAGAACATAAAACACCAGATTCTAACCTAATCCCCATTTGAGGCATATGGCTTATAGAAGACAAATTAAAGACAAAAATACATAAATAGTATTCATTCCCTTGTCCTAAGACTCCACAGCTACGTCTTGAGATTCCCCCTTGAATCTTCGCTGCATTGGACGCTGGGGTGCTGAACTTGAACGTGCCCCGTGCTTAGAGATTGAGTCAGGAGCTGCATCTGTGCCTCCCGAGCACCTGGTGTGTGCCTTGCTGGGGAGCTACTTAGCCCCACTTCTGTTTCTGAATTCAGAAAGAAAAGTGGAGGAGCCGGCAGCAAGCAGGAGCCAGAGGGCAGGAGGCCCTGGAGCAAGAACGGGCAGCTGGTCAGAGGCCCAGCACCGCAGCCAGAACTTTCTTCTTTTGTCGCTGGCTAAGAAGAGAAAGACTGGTTTGAAGTTCCCAATAGGTTTCAAGTACTACTTTAGGCTCCAGAGTATGAAGAGATGAATAGGAAAAAAAAAATAAAAATCCCTTCTCTTAGGAAATTCAAGGTCTAGCAGAGACACAGGCACAAAGTCACCATCACGATTTCCTGTCTGATGTGCTAGGAGGACTTGCCTGTGTGGACAGGGAGTTACAGATGCTGGGATGCCTTGCAAGAGAGGGCACGTGAGCCAAGTCTTGCAAGATGAGCACTGCTGGGGAAAAGGGGTATTCCAGGAACGTGGTTCTCCAGCTTTTAGCTGCATCAGAGTCACCTGGCTTCATTAAAGCATGGATTTCTGGGTCTC